GAACAGGTTTGGGAAGAAAGAAATGGCTTTAGGCAATGCCAGGGAAAAAAAATAGCTCTTAACCTTGGCAGTCAGTGGCTTCCAGTCCCTGTGTGGAGTTTGCTGAGTCATTTCAGGGTCACTACCCAAAATCCATCCTTCTGTGGCCCATAACTTTTCTTGAAGAGAGCAGCATGAAATCATGGAAGAACATGGGGTTTGTTTGCCTGGATTCCTGTGTCCCTCCCCTCTCAGAACCTCTGTTTCCCAAGCTACACAAATGGCCTCACCTAGAGACTTTGTTAAACTTTAAAATAAATACTTACCTAAGTGTGAGAAAGTAATTTCTGCCCTGGCCAGGGGCTGGCCTGCTAGCTGGACCTCGAGATATGCTGGCATCCAAGGCTACCCTTAAAAACCTACGCTCATCTTTCCATGTCACAAGAGGTTTCTTTTTCCTGGCTGTGTGACCCTCTCTCAGCCTCATTTTCCTCAACTATAAAAGGGGATAATAATATGTACCTCAAAGGGTTTTTGTGAGGATCAAATGAGTTAATTATATAAATTATATAAATATAAGGGCTGTATAAATGTTAACTGTTATTATTACCCAAAAATGAGAGAAAACAAACAGATTTGGAAAATGGGCAAAATTTTTTTCTTTCAGTAAATAAACATGCCTAATAATCCCCAACAGCAGCCCAGATGAAAGACAGCATGGTTTGGTTGGTGGATGGTCTCAGCCTGTAAATTCTGGGTTTAAGCCTTGCCTCTGACCCTGAGCAACCCTGAGCAGGTTGCTTTAAGACTGTCTGTTGTAGAGAAGGTGGTGGTCTTCATTGGTTGAGGGCCTGTGCCTACCAGGAGTGTTGCTGTGTTCTCCTGCCCACCCTCCCTTCCCCCATCCCACAACCTTTCGAAAAGTATTGGTGATTTGGGAAATTTTGGTGTCTGTAGTCCTGATGACATCTTAAATGTTGCCTCTTCTCTCCAGAATTGTGGACTCATAGATTTGAAGCTGGAAGGGGCCTTAGAGATTCTTCCAACCCCTCCATCTTATAAAATTAAGAAACAGAGGGTCAGGGATGGCCCCCAGTGAGTAATGAAGTGCTCTTGCCATACTGCCTACAAGCAGCTAGCTCCCCTAGCCATCCCCTTGTACCTCATCCTCTTACTGCAATTCCCTTTTCTTCCTCTTTAAGGTTCCAGGAGGCTTTGGAAGTATTCCGCAGTCATGGGGAATCAGGAAGCAGCCAGGCTTTTCTGAGCCTGTAGCATGGCAAATGGCCAGGGCCTGTGGCTCTGTGACTCAAACACAGATGCTTTCACAGTGTCAGAAAGTACCATGGTCAGAACTAAAAGCTTCCTCGAGAGTGGGTGGCAGCAGGTGGGGAACAATTAGTGGGTAGTCTCCTGCTGGTTGGTAGTAGTAATCAGAATAGATCTTAATGTTTGCACCTATTTAAAACAAATTTACAGTATTCATGTTCTTAGACATCCTTGTGGGTGAGTTCCCTCTCTCTACCTTTTTTTGTCTGTACCTTTTAGTGCCTAAACCAGCATTCCACTTTCCATCTGCCTGCCTGGACACAAGGCTGGCTCCCAGGCCTGGAATGAATGCTTTCCTTGAATTTACATCTCAGAATCCTTTAAGGCCTAGTGCAGGTGGAAACCTGACTTGATAAGTTGTTGGTGGAATGTAAGCGCCTTGAAGGCAATGCCTAGGGCAGTCATTGGCCCTGCTTGCTGATTGGTTGATTAGCATGCTCTCCTTTATATTATCCTGGGGATGAGCGTATATGTTGTATGTTGAGAATGTCATCTCTTTTAAGGCAGAATCCATTTTCATGTTTAATTTTGTTCCTCAATGTGTAGTGATTCAATTTAACACACATTTAATATTAACAACAACAGTACTATTAGCTATCACTTTATATCTAGCACTGTATAGGACTTTAAGGTTTGTAAAGGGCTTTACAAATACTATCTCCTTTCATCCTCACAACCACCCTGGGTGGGGGTAAGTGCTATCGTTATCTCCATTTTACAGATGAGAAAACTGGGATTGTGAGTGGTTAAGTGGCTTGCCTAGCGTTCCATACCTAGAAAGTATCAGTGACCAGATTGGAACTCAGGTCTTCCTGACCCCAAGTTCAGTGTTCTTTCCACTCTGCTGTCTTTATTATGCACCTGCTATGTACAAGGCACTACCCTAGGCATTGGGAATATAAAGATATAACTGAAATAGTCCTAGACCTCAAGGTGCTTACACTCTACTGAGGAAATCACCATGCAAATAGATAATTAAACATAAGGTAATCTGCTGAAGAAGGGAACACTGAAAATTAGGAGGGGAAGGTGTTAATAGAAGGTTGAGTTGAATGGAACAAGTGTTTGTTTAAGCGATTACTGACTGCTTCTGACTAGTTCCCTTGTGCTACCTACTTATGTTGATAATAATGAATGATAATAGCTTATATTTAGATAGTGCTTTAATTTTGCAAAGATCTTCCCATAATGATCTTACTTGATGCTTACAACAGCTCTGTGAGCTAACCATTGCAAATGTTATCACCACATCAGGAAACTGACTTGCATATAAAATGAGGTATATAGTAAGTGGTGGAAACAGTATTCAAATCTGGCTTCTTGGTCTCCAGGTCCAGAGCTCTTTCTCTTGTACTTCACTGTCTGTCCGTCTGTGAATGTATGTATTGTAGTATTGTAATGTTGATTTCTGATGATGGGGCATATGTTTTCATTTAAAAAAAAAAAAAGGATTCTTTCTTGTTTCATCAGGCCCTAATTTTACTTTTAGCCAGAAAAGAACAGAGTAGTCAATGGCAGTTTTTGGATAGGGTTGGAGGGCATTATTGAATTCTTGGTTCTCATTTTTCAGCTGTTTTCCATTTCCTTCCTAGGGTTGTCCATCCTGCCAGCTCAGTAAATACAGTTTGGGGAATGTTGAATGGGTGATGAAGTACAATTGGCGGTTTGCCCTTGATTGACTCAAGGAAGTTACAAGCTCATTGTAGTGACCAGATTTACTTACATATGTGAAACAGAACCCAACACACATAGTAAAGTGAAAAAATTAGTGCAGTATAGATAGCAAGGCCCAATAGGAATGTCCCCAAAAGGTAGAATGTGTTTAAGGTAGAATGTGGTTTTGCTTGGTTGAATATTAATTCTGCTAATAAGTTCAATAAACTGTGTGAAGTATCTGTTGAAACATGAAGAAAGAAGAACCCTTGCAGAAGCCAAATTCTATAAAGCAACTATGGAAAGAGATCTCTAATGCATACCATACATGAATGACTAGTATGCTAGATGATAGAATTAGGATCCAAAACTGTCGTTGTCTTATGCTTATGCTGGGCTGACACTGACAGTAAAAATTTTAAAGAAGGTGTAGCACATGGGTGAGAGTGTAGGGGAAAGACAGATTAGGAAACAATCCATGTGAAAAAGATGTAGGGATTTCTACTGGACTGCTAAATCAGGGCTGTCCATAGTGTGAAGGCTACATAGTCAGTTGTAGGCAACCCAAAAAGTAATCTTGGGCTGTATGATAGATGTATAATATCAAAGTCTGGGGAAGCAGGATAGCCCGTTGAACTTTTCCTGTCCGGAAAATCTCTGGAAATATATTGTGTCCAGATCTGGGTATCACATTTAATTGGATTAGGGATAAGTTGGAGAACATGGAGAGGAGGGGTGACCAAGATGGCAACTAGCAACCGTGGGATAAAGAGATTATTCGAAGGAACTGGAAATATTTAGCCTGAAGAAGAGAAGGTATTTGAAGGGTTTTAATGGGCAGGGGAGATTGGATTTGTTTATTCTATTTAGCTACAAAAGACAAGACCAGGAACAGTCATTGGAAATTACAAGGAATAGTTTTTTGGCTCAACATAAAGAAAAACTTCCTGATAATTAAGAAAGTCTGACAGTGGAATGGTTTGCCTTTGGAGGTAGTGGACTCCAGGTTACTTTAGGTGTCAAGACAAAAATTCACTTATCACTTTTTGAGATTGTTGTATAGGACTCTTTATGATTTGAATAGGGGTTGGACTGGATTCCCTCTGAGATCACTTTTTAAAGGCTCTTTTAAGATTTTATGTGGATATATAATTGACATATTGCTTGCCTTCTCAATGGGTAGAGGAAGAGCTGGAGGGAAGGAAAGAATTTGGAACTCATAATTTTTTTAAAAACTGAATGATAAAAGTAATAAAAAAGCAACGAAAAAAAGATTTTATGCAGGAATGGCTGCTTAGAAAAGAAATGAAAACATCTGGTGTGTGATATATATAATCAAAGCCACCTTCAAAAATGTTCTCTTAACATTGACTATGGGTTTCCCCTCTTAGGCTCATAGATTTGGAGCTAGAAGGGACCTTAGAGATCATGTAATCCAGCTCTCTTATTTTAAAAAATGAGGAAACTGAGTCTTAGAAAAGTGAAGTGACTTGACCAGGGTCATACATTTAACAAGGGTAGAACCAAGACTGACCTGAAGTCCTCTGATTCCAAATCCAGCCCTCATTCTCTGTTATCAGAAGGAGGAGGTTTCAGCTGTGCTGCCACCAAGGGAAATAAGAAAGTCTGGTTTCCCCAGAAAATGTTTTGTTGTTAACAGGTTTCATTTATTATATCTACGGCACATAGTACATCAAAATTCTTGTTGGCAAGAACCAAGTTGGCATGTTTAACCAATTATTTGTTAGGCATGTCGCCTATGTTACCATATGTTGTCATGGTACAGTGAATGGAAAAACTCCTGGCTGTGGTGCCGTCTTGGAGATCTGGCTGTGTATTCCACCAGTCTTGTGGCTATGTCAACCCAATACCTCTGCAGTTAGAGTAATGGAGAGCATTGCTCCTCTGTTTCCTAGTACCTGAAAGTATATTGAAGTTCTTTCTCTTATTAGGCTCAAAAGGCAAAATGTCACATAGCTAAAGCTTTAAAAATTAAATCCTCCACATTAAAAGATATATATTAAATTTTTCGTACTTACATGAGTTCATGAATTCCTCACACGTCTGGCATGGTTTAGGTGTGGTTCTGTCTGAAGGTAGGAGGACTTACTTCTAACTTTCAAACATTCCAACGCTAGGACCCAGTCTGTGACTTACATCTGTTACTGTTAATTGAAGTGGGGTTAGTCCCAGGGCCTACTCCTTACCAAGGAAGTAAGAAAGAAACTGAATGGTTGGCCAGGGGTTAAAGTTTGTAAGCCAAAGGAGCTTGTCCTTGGTTGACTGATTAGCAACTCTACTGTGTTATGTTGACTGGCAGTGGACTCATAGCCAGGGAAACCACATAGATTAAAGGAAGCAGCCAGGTGAGCTTACGGAAACTTGGCCACCAAAATTCCCTTCCTACCTACCCTCCTGTTCAGTTTCACAACCAGGGTTTTTTGAAATGTATCCCAAAAACTCTGCCCTTACCACCAGGATGTAGTGGCGCTCTGCCTAATGTGCCATAGTTTTCTGTAGCTTTTCCCTACTTCCTTTCACAGGGAAGTAGACTGAGAGCTAGTTGGGAGCCAGGTTTGAGCTTTGTTGTCCTTTTTACAAAGCTAGGCTTTACCTCACCCTGCAGGCAGAACATTTTGGAGTTTCTCAGCTTGCTGCATCATCCTGCAGAAACCCGAGATGGAGCAAAACCGGTTTCTAGTTGCCACCTCAGCTTTAGTGGGGATACTCCTTTTGTGGCTGAATCATCTGGAGATTCTGAATTCTGGCCAGTTTTTCCATCAGCCCAGTTAGATTCTGTCCATAGAGACCTGCTTGAAGACTCAGGCTTCTGCCATGTTCCTTTGAAGCTATTGCCTCCATGTCCGTGGATTCTCCCATCGTTAGGATTTTTCTTCATTTTGTTTTCTTAAACTGAGACCTATGTAGAATCTCATAATTGGAGAGCTTTGTTTTAGAAATGAGGAAATTGAGGACCAGAGAATGAAGTGACTGTTCAGTCATTAGGTAGAATCTACTTTATTAGAAAACTGTCTACTAGCATCTCAAAATAAAAATCAAAAGTCTTCTTATATGGGTGACTTACAGGCCACATGGTTTAGTAGATGCACGTTGGACTAGGTGTTAGAACTGGGGTTCCAGTATTGGTTCTGTCACTAATTAGTAGTGTGACTATTAGGGAAGTCGTTTCTCCTCTCTGGGGCTTGGTTTCCTCATCTGTACAGTCAAGGGGACATTAGGCAGGGTTAATTAGAACCCTAAATCTCTTAAGGGCCCTTCCAGCCCTAGATCTTGTAATATTCATAGTGCAAAGAGTCAAAGGACCTGAGTTCAAATCCCACCTGTGCGACTGTGGGCAGATCCTTACCTCCATGGACTTAGTTTCCTCATCTGTAAAATGAGTTTGATTAGATGGCTTCTGAGGTCCCTTCCAGCTTTGTATGATTACAGATCCTTTGATTTTTAAGGTCCCTTCCAACTTGAAATTTTGGGATCCAGTGATCTTGTGGGGGCCTGTGGGTGGGAAACAAAAGACCAAGGTTTCCGTGTTTTCATTTTGGTTGTAATCACGCACTGTGAATGGGAGAACTGGCCACCAACCACTGCGTTCTGGTCTCTTGATCTCTATGGATGTGGCAGTCGCAGAGCTGAAGGACTCCTGTATTCGTGCCTACTGGAATAACTTCTTTTGGGAGACGAGGAGAGTTTTGGGGCAGGTAGGATGGGGGTGGGGGTGGGGGTGGGGGTGTGAGGAGGCCGTATCCCTGAGAAGCGTAGAAAATGAAATCTTGAGAACTCCACCCTTGTGAAATCATCGTCTTGGGAAGTGCTGAATAAACGTAAACAGGCATTATTATTGGGCTGGATTATTTTCTGTATTTCAAGGGAGATTGTATTGGCATGGAAGGAGGGGAGTGACTAGGTGAGGTTGACAGGACTTGTAATTTCCTTAAGTGATAAAAGAATGCAAACCCATCCTCAAGATGCTCACAATCTAATTTATTCTCTGTTTAAGGAGACAGACCATTGAGGCAAAAATTCCTAAGCTCCAGCCTGAAAGAGGGTTTAAAACCGGTAGTTTGAACATAAGCTTATCTATAAGATCATCTAATAAAATCCCAAAAGATTCTTTATGGCCTATACTCATTGATCTCTATTATCTGAGGGAGGAAGTTTCAGCTGTGTTGCCACAAAAGGAAATGAGAAAGTCTGGTTTCTCCAGAAAACATTTTGTGGTTAACAGGTTTCATTTATTATATTTATGGCACACTGTAGTACATCAAAATTCTTATTGCAAGAAGCAACTTGGCATGTTTAACCAATTATTTGTCAGGCATGTTGCAGAGAGCTTGCTGGCTTCTGAGGTCCCATCCAACTCTGGAAATGTGGTGAAAAGGGGAGATACTGCCTTTTCCAAAGGCCTGTAAATTTAGAACCTGTAAATTTAAACTCGAGTCTCTATCGCCTAGATCCAGTGGTGATGCATGAAACACCTGAAATATCTTATCCACGTGTGAGTCCCGTCATAGAACGTCAAAGTATCTTCTTTTTATTGGCTTCTAGAACCAAAGATGGAGGACAGCACAATGCACAGGATGGGGGAGGGTGCAGTTGACCTTTCAGGGGGACGTAATCTGGAACACTTCTTAATAAGCACTCATTTTGAAACCCCATAAAATCACATTCTCCAGGGTCCATCAGTATTTCTCTTGTGATTTGGTGAAGAGTGAGATGTGTATAGAGTAAAGGTACAAAGCTTGAAGGTGACAGTAATATACTTGGTTTGGCTTTGTGCTCCTAAGTATCCTGACTTTAGAGTACAGCCCATCAGCTAACATTAAGTGTCCTCTATGTGCCAGGCACTGTGCTAAGAGTTGGGGATACAAGGAATGGCAAAAAACAGTTTTTTTGTTCCTGTATGAAAGTCCCTGCTTTCAAGAAGGTTACATCTTAGGGGGAGGAGACAATATGCAAACAACTATTTGCAAAGAAGATATAGATGGGATAAATTGGAGGGCAGTCTCAGAGGGAAGGAACTAAGATTAAAGAGGACTGGAAAAGAGTTCTTGCAAAAAGTGGAATTTTTAGCTGAGACTTGAAGGAAGCCAAGAGGTGAGGAAAGAGAGTGTTCAAGCATGGAGGACAGCTGGAGAAAACGTTCAGTTGGGAAACAGAGCATCACAGGTGAAGGGACGGGGGAATAGCACCACTTCTGGATGCTAAGCACATCGGGTGAATCATTGGATTTTTTAAATTACATTAATGAATTTCTCCCATTGCTTCAAGCTCTTCTCATTTATGCCTGTGTCATCTGGCTACTCAGTCAAAAATCCGGTCTAAGCAGTTCCCGAGAATTTAAATTGAAATCATTCTGCAACTATTCTAAGCCAGTCCTGCATTTTGTTTTTACTAACCACCCAACATTCAAAGCTATTACCAACCGCCATTTTTGAAAAGCTTTAAAAACAGAAACAAAAAACACAACTTGGCAAAATAAGTCAGAAATGTCTACTTTCTGAATAATAAATCTTCAAATTCCAAGGGAGGAGGTGGCAGGGAGACTCATGTTCAGTGGAAATGAGACTGGAATCTTTGAAAGAACACTTCTTCCCAGTTGGAGTCATTCAGGAAGTAGAGGATGGAATTTGGTGGGCTACTCCACTGTTGCTGTCATTTTGAGTTCTATTAGGATACCACCTCTATCACAGTATACTTCCTTTCATTTTAGATGGATGGTTAGCAAATGCCTTCAGTACTCAGGAGCTCCTTGCTGATTCTAGAATAAAAGCTTCCTGGAAATGAAATCATTAACTCAATCCCTTGCCTTTCTCACCCTGCATGGTGATTATTGAATTTATCTAGGGCAGTCTGCCTTAGGAACATTTAAAAAAAAATCTAGAACAAGATTGCTCTAGGAAATGATTTGTCTATTAAGCTGTCAAAAATATGCAGTAGGAAGAACATTGGACACATCAGTGGCAGCAATGTCCAGGATTGGGTTTAATGGCACGTTGTGCTTCCTGTTTTCCTCTTCCTATCTACCTGTGCTAAGCTGAGCTGAAATGGGAAGTAGATGGAATGTGAATGGGGAAAGATATGGGTTGTGTGAAGGACTTAAAAATGGTGCCTTCTCTTCTATTTGAGGAGTCTATACCTTTGAAAGACACCAAGGCCAAGCTCTTTGCTTCAGATTTTTCGAAGTAAACATTAGGTATCTTGTTCCTGCTAGGGGACAAAGGGTGAATGAACCATCTTCTAGCATACTTGGTGCAATGGCCGCCATTTTCCAGAATACCCTTCTCATGTCCCTCTTGCATCTGTGTGCTCTTTCAGGTGTAGAAGATGAAGCCGCCTTTGCAGAGGAGTGCAGCCGCAGAGGACAGAATGCCCTGCCTTTCCAGTCCAGTGCCCGTTCTCAGAAGATGAATCGGCCTGCTCCCTCCAAACCTGTGCCTCAAAATATTTCTGTGGAGGAGGAGCAGGATAAACCTCGGGTCAGCAGCAGCTGGGAGTCCCCCATATTCTTAGCAGGTGTGGAAAAAGAGGTTGCTAAGAAAGGTGCCCCAAGTACCCATCATCCTCCCCACAAAAGTGAGCGTTCTAAAGCTAATATATCTGAGGAGCAGAATAACTCCACCCTCCCAGATTCCCTTAGCTGTGCAGATGGGCAGAAAAAGGCAGACCTAGAGAGTTCCCCAAATGAGGGACACAATCCAGACCGAAACAAAGAGAAAGACGACACCCACTGCTGTTGTATTCTGACCTGACCTGGGCAGAGCGTGTCTGGGGCTTGGGGAGATGTTAGGGGAGATGCCCAAATGGGCAGAGCATCAGAGTGCTGGTGGCAGGCTTTAGGTTTCCACTCACAGCTCTCTTCCCTAACTCAGGAGACAGACATCCTTTCAAGTAACTCTCAATCTCTCCAAACCTCCATGTTTCCCCTACTTCTAAAATCTGGTGGGGTGCCGTGTGATTCTTTTTGTGTGTGTGAAGTGTATTGTTACTCCAGGACAAAAGGTGCTACATGTAACTGCAAAGAGCTGCTTCATTTTTAAACATCCTCAACCCCACTCTACAGCAGCTAATGCCTTAGTTCTCTGGTTCTAATTCACTCATCCCTGATACACTTGCTGGGCCCATAACCTGGAACTGTGGAAACGGAAGAGGATTCTTGTGTTTCGGGCATGTTTAACGTTAAGGTCTGCTGGGCTCCATACAGGTAGAGCAGGTAGAGAACTCTGTAACTATGGAAAAATACTCTCATGCCTTTTCCTGGTGTCAGTAATAAGCCATAGGATACCCTCATGCCCTAGTAAAGTGGGAAGTCTCTGAAGTGTCAAAGACGTGTTGCATCTGTTTCCTCTCCACGGCCGCTACAGAAGTCACCGTGTCCTCACCTCCCCCGTCGTCCCCCTCAGTTCCCCATACACCCTCCCAAACAAGACTCCCTGAAGTAAGAAGGATTGTGCTATGCTGAGTGATCTTTTGTGAATGAACGTGAAGCCTCAGATTGTGTATGTGTCTCCCCATCCTCCCCCTCTCCCCAATCCATCCATCTAGGACTGTAGGTGTTATTGAACCCACCTATCAATCTGTTGCCCCTTCAGTCATAGGATGGCCCCCACATGGGCACCCCCCCCCCAACCTGCCCTTTGGGAGCCAGAAAGGGTGGCCATATTGCAGAATGTTACCAAAATGGCCTAATTGGGAGAGTGCTAGATTTGGAGACTTGGATTCTTGTTTTAACTTTGCTCCTTTATAACCCATGTGACCTGGGGCAGGTGACTTTACCTTCTTTGGCCCCAGTTTACGCGTCTGTAAAATGAAGGAGTTGTACAAGCTGACCTCTAAGGGCCCCTTCCAGATCTAGTCCTGTGATCTCCTAGTCATCAGATATGGAAGAATTTTAAAAGGCTGCTATAGAAGGAAGCTGCGATCCAGAGCTTCGAAACAGAAGTGGAATTTCAAAGCTATTTATAGAGTTGTTACCTTTCTTCCGTCTGAGCCAATTATAGTCATCATTAACTACAGCTGCCTTTACCTTTATCCCTCCACGGGGTTCTATTAGTGCTAAACTGGTAGGGGATTGGGTCTAGATGCAGACATAGGCATGGTGTGCATGTAGGTGTGTGTGCATGCATGAGTGTGCATGTGCGTGTGTGTGCACATACGTGTGTGTCACTGACCAACTGTGAATCTCAGACTCTATTCCAAAGCCAAGCATGAATGGTGGTTTTGCATTGTCCCTGTCTCTTGTTCCCTTTGTTAATAAGTTCGTTAACCTAGGTAAGTGAGAGAGTTGACCATCATAAGATCAGATGGCCAAATGGGTCTATTTTGGAGGTATGCTGATAGAATACCCACTGGACAATTTGCTTAAATGGGGACCCCTCAAACTATTCCCATGGGAAAAGAAGCATAAGATGTCTTGTGGGAGAATTGTCCAAATTTATTTTTTTTCTTCCATTGCTCAGTAGTAAGAACTTGATGGGAAAAATTCTTCTGTCTCTTAAAAGGCAACGTGGGCAATCTCTGATCTGGGAAGCAAAGGGATAAGGTCCTGTTTCTTGCTGTTTGGAGGGCTTAATTTCATAAAGAAACAACAGCCCCTTGAGGTTTTTATGCCTCTATGGTAAAGGAGGGTACCATACTTTAGTGTTTATGAAATGGGAGAAGAGCCCTGGATTCAAATTACTGGCTCAGCCAGTAATGACAGGGCCAACTGTGGACACGTCATTTAACTTTTCTAAACCTCAGCTTTCTCACCTGTGAAAATAAGGGTATTGGATAGGGCTTAGTTAACTGCTAAGGTTCTTTCTAGCTCCAAATCTATGATTTTAGAATCTCTAATGCAAAAGAAAAGGTAGAATTAGTGATTCCAGGAATGCTCTGACCTGGAAAAAAGCAAAAAGTATCTGTGTGTAGTGGTGAGAACAATGGATGTGGAATCCATACTTTGCAAATGTGACCCTGAGTAAGTCACTTTCAGTTTCCTCATCTATAAAACTGGACTGGATGGTCCCTTCCAGCTCTAAATCCCCTGGTACTGTGACCCATTTTCTCTACCTGTGGTTGAAAGTTCTCTTCGGAAGCTTCGTCAGGATGGGCATAGCAACCAACTGCAGTGCACAAACCAAACCAAAAATCTAGATGGAGAGTTGCCAGCAAAAGCAGATGGGTGATTTTGAGGCATCGGCCCTTTCCTGTGTAATTGAATGAAAAATAGAGGCAATTGGGGAGCGTGTATGAGTACAGAATCAATTTAGTTCTGAATCGAATAGGTTTAGAGACTTTCCCCAGTTGTAGTGCACTCTGGGCACTGACTGGTTTTGAGGGGCTTGGGGGAGAAGAGGGAGGTGTTTTTGGAGGGTGGGACTGAGGAGTGTAGCTTGGGCATACTGGAGAAAGACATAGGTATCTGAAGCAAGTAGCATTTGTCATTTGACAAGCCAGATTCTAGAATGCGAAGTTGCTTTGAGTTTAGAGAATTTGGTACACTCCAAAGTACTCTTTGATAATTTAAAGGACCCTAGCAATGTGTGTTGGGCCCCACTTAGGCAAGCATCTGTGGTAAGAAAGGAGTAATCTTTAATACAAATGTCTGCTACATTACTGGGGAAAGGGGAAGGGAAAGGAGTAAGCATTTACATAGCATTTACCATGTGCCAGGTAATGTTCTAATTGCTTTTACAAATATTATCTCATTTGATCTTCACAACAACCTTGCAAGGTAGGTTCTGTTATTGTCTCCATTTTACAGTTGAGGAAACTGAGGCTGAAATTAAGTGACTTGCCCAGGGTCGTATAGCCAGTAGGTGTCTGATGTGGAATTTGAACTCTGGGTCTTCCTGACTTTAGGTTTAGTGCTCTATTCACTGTGCCATCAGCTATCTGAGCCCTCAGTCACCACTGGAACAGGACTAGGTTAAATAGCCATACTGTAGAGATGACCCAAGAACCGTTTCCTTCTTGCCATCATGTAAAACCATATAGATGCTTTCCAAATGCCAGCCCCTTGATTTCATTGCATTTCCAAAATTCCACCATAAGATTTTATAATAGTGTTGTACACATATAAGTTTAATCCCCTCCTTTCGGTGTGTTGGTTTTATTATCATCTTAGACCTCTCCTGACCAGTCATTCTTTTCCTTGCTGAATGAGACAGTGGTGCTTGGATTTCCAACTCCTGGCCCAGTGCCTTCCATCTAGGGAGTGCTCATTATACTAAAGATTGATGATGTCAATGATGTGACTACTTCCTCCACCAGTTAAGATGGCAACCCCACCTCACCTTAATTGATGGCTTTCATGAGTGGCAGCACCCCCTCTCTCCCCTTAAAATTCCCCCGTTGGCCAGCCTTGGAGGGATGATCCTTGTGGCTATATCCACACTTAGCTTGCCTGGATCTACAGCTTGGACTCAGCTGGTGTGTCTTTCAAAGCCTGAGGTTTCTCCATACCACTTCCATGTCACACCAAAGTATTAGAATAGGACTTTAGTGGAGGGGTGTTTAGGAAATATTTTATTCCAAGTTCATGTTAGCTTGTTCTCACTTGGTTAAGCATAATTTCTGGGGAAGTATTCCTTCTATTGTGGAAATTGTGTAGGGGAAAGTGTATCCATCAAAGGGAGCTTTCTGTGTAGACAGTGCTGAAATTTGTTAAAGGCTAGACATTACGCCCTGAAAAGTGATGCAAGAGAGTTCTAAAGAGTTCCCTGAGAGAATAGGGCAGATGTGTCCTTGCTTCAGCAATTTGATGACTAGTTGCTAAGCAGAGAACCTTGCTATCAGAGTTCATGCCACACAGCCTAGTAGGATACGAAGAAGTCTGACTGTGGAATCATTTAATTATTCAGCTGAAGCATGTGTGTGTGTGTGTATGTGTATATGTGTGTATGTACAGGATGTACCCATTGTTTCTAATGAATGATATTGATATACTAAAAGTACCTTTCACTTATGATCCATTGTTTGTTTTATGTTTTAAATGTTGGTGTGTTCTCCTGAATAACTATGGTCTAGCTAGTCGGAGTTAAATTTCCTTGAGAGTGAAGATCAAAGGAGACTCCTATAAAGAACACATTGTCTTTTGGGAGCCAGCAGCAAGTCCTGCTTTGGTTTCTGGTTAACAGGATAATTTTATTGTGCCAATAGCATGGACTGTGTTATAGAGATGATGGGATGATAAAGCCCAGTGCAGGTTTGACCCATTGGTCCTTTGCCTTGTTGCTGACTTTATTGTTTTATATTTAATCTCCATTTGAAACTTTGAAATTCAGCTGCATTGTTCCGAATGGCCAAAGTGATTGTGTTACTTAAAACTTAATAGGGAATTCATTTCACAGAACACATGTCGTGGAGAAGGATGAACATTGGCTTCATCTGATTCTGACAAATCCCAAACATGCTATAGGTCTTTGGAGGAAAAGAGAACATTGTAAAGGAAGGCTCTTGAGTCCTTTGGACAATGAATGTGGTTGAGAAGTTTTCATATTGGAAAAAAAGTGTTGTGTGCTTCCTTTTTTTTT